AGGATGATCAGGGGCCTGGAACATCTGCCCTATGAGCAAAGGCTCAGGGAGCTGGGCCTGTTCAGCCGGGAGAAGATTGAGGGGGGACCTGATCAGTATGATCATAAATACCTCAAGGGACGCAGGGAGGAGGAGGGGGCGGCCTGTTTCCAGTGGTGGACAGCGATAGGACTAGAGGAAACGGCCACAAGCTGAGGCACCAAAAGTTCCACAGGAACTGAGGGAAACATTTCGTAACAGTGAGGGTGCCAGAGCCCTGGCACAGGCTGCCCAGGGAGGTTGTGGAGTCTSCTTCTCTGGAGATCTTCAAAACCCACTTGGATGCAGCCCTGTGCCACATGCTCTAAGTGTGCCACATGCTCTAAGCATTCTATGATTCTATGATTCTTGTAGTGAGGGGCCCAAAGCTGGGCTCAGGATTCCAGGTGCGGCCTCCCCAGTGCTGAGTACAGGGGGACGATGCCTTCCCTGCTCCTGCTGGCTACACTCTTCCTGATCCCGGCACTGAGATCATCAAGATCATCACTCAAGATCATCAAGATCATCAATTCCAGCCATAAACTCTGGCAACATCACCATCGTGCTAAACCATGCCCCTAAGCGCTTTATCTACACGTCTATGTAAAATATGGTGGGCATTGATGATCTTAATGATCTTGATTGATGATCTTGATGATGTCAGTACTGGTATCAGGAATTGATGATCCTGAAGGTCTTTTCCAACCATTATGACTCAATTATTCAGTGTAGACACTTGTTTCCGGGTGGTCCTGGCAATGCACCCACATCACTGCCAGAGCCCGATGTCACAATTGTCACAGCACTGTCCCAATGACATCACGGCCGGGACAGGATAAAAGGCAGAGCTCGCTGCCTTCCCTCGCCTGTCTCAGGCCCAAGCKCAGGAGAGGCCCAGCACGGACCCAGGACCAGGTGTAGTGGGGAGAGGTGGMTGGGATTGGAGGGGGGAGGGAGGAGAGGAGCACCTGGTGCCTCTGGAATTTCCTCCCAAAGGGGTCCCCGTGCCGGACCTGGCCATGTGGGAGCCCCGGCCAGCTGCTGGGAACGGCGCCACTCCCAGCACAAGCCAATCAATGCAATGGATCTCCACTCCAAGAAGAGGAGCGTCTTCATCGGACACTGTGGGACAAGAGACATCGCCCGCGTGGGAAGTCAGGTTGCTGCCTGGGAGAAATCCCAGGAGGCTTCCTGTGAAGAGAACGGCCCCATGGACAATGGACAATCTCGCTCGGGGGCCTGCATGGGATGAGTCTGGGACAGCTACTGGCAACAGTGAAATTGTGGGAAGGAAACGTGGAGCTCGAGGAACTTTGGGTGACCGTGGATTGGGAGCATCCTGCCACAGACAAGGACCAACTGCGTTCCCGACCTCGGAGCAGTGAGCACTGCTGCTGCACTGGGAGCTCCCTCCCAGCAGTGTGAGGCGGGGGG